GTAGCGACGGAGAGGCGAATGCGGCAGACAGACGTCAGTGGAATGGAGACTCTCCAAGCAGGGAGAGGCAGAGGATAGAAGGGGGAAAGAGGTTGAGAGAACTTGAAGGGACTCACTGTCAGAACAGCACTCTGACCGTACGGTCAGATCCATCCGATGATCAGTTTTGAGTCCATTGGAGAGATGGTCTTACCGTGACAGTGGGTGCGGCGAGCATAGAGGAATATACGGAGAGGGAGAGGGGAAGGGGAAGGGACAGGAGGAAGTGGATTCGCAAGTTGACGCAATATGAGAGGGACTGAGGGAAGGAGGGAAGGAAGGAGTAGCAGGAGGGAGTAGCAGGAGGGTGGAGCAGGAGGGAGGAGCAGGAAGGTGGAGAAGGAGGGTGGAGCAGGAGGGAGGGGGAGGGAGGAGGGGTTGATAATTAGCTCGACAGCTCGGGGCGTATGATCACAAATCAATTGCCAAGGGAGATCGTATGCATTTCTTCAAGGTGAGGGGCCGGAGGGCCGGAGGGCCGGAGGTGAAGAAAACTGGCAGGCGACCTCGACTGCGGAGTACTCGATCCCTGTGACCTCCATCAAGTTCGATGGCCGAGGTGAGGGAGTTGGGGAGGGGAAGGGAGGGGAAGGGAGGAAGGAGGAGGAGGAGGAGGAGGAGAGGGAAGAGGAAGGGGGAGAAGGAGGAGGAAGAGCAGGAGGAGGTAGAGGAGCTGGAGCAGGAGCGAGTCAATGTAGGAGGAGAAAGTGACTGTGCTCCTACAAGAATTGCTGGATTTCGAGACGGAGATCAACCCCCGCGTCCCAGGGCGAGAGAGCTGGATACCTGGGATCTTGGATAGGTAGGATGCAGTCGAGGAGTTGTAAAAAGTTTCTTCTGCTTCTCGCACTGCTACTGCTGCTACTGCTGCTACTGCTACTACTGCTACTACTGCTACTACTACTGCTGCTACTGTTTCTCCTCCTCCTCCTCCTCCTCCTCCTCCTCCTCCTCCTCCTCCTTCTCTTCTTCGCTCCTACCTGTGCTTTATCTTGTTGTTTCTTTCGACATCTCTGTTTGCAATGACTTGTCATGTCTTATCTTCATTCTGATCTGCTTTGAACCTCACGTAAACCATCTTTCTCAGCGGAACGTCCTGCCTGGTTCTTCCGGACTCGACCTTGAAAGGAGTTTTGCGAGACAAGCCTTTCTCAACGGTGAGTTTCAAGTCAAAGTTACGATCATATTCTGTGTTCTTTATTTGCAACAGTTTCCACCGCTCTTTCGCTTCTTTTGTTTGCTTTCTACTGCTCTCCTACTTGTTATGCTGTGCTTTCCACGAAGACTCTTCTACCTGCAGATCATTCCATGTCGACTTTGTTGTCAGATATCAACATCATCTCTTGATCTGTCTTGTCCTCTCTTGTTCGTTTTTGTTTTCTTGTCCTCTTGATATAGCACTCTCATTTCTGCACTTGTTCCTGCTTCTCTTCTCACTGTCTTCTTCCTGCTCTTCAGTTTGTTTCCTTGGCTCGCAATTCAGCTCAGGATGCAACCAAAAAACTTCCAATCATGATCACCATCGGGCATGGCCGGCAGTCCCACACCTTTGAGATTCCCTTTGAGGATTGGTGAGCGCCAGGACTTGACGACTGTGATGTATCAAGCAGCACATGCGAACGATAGAATATCTTCATCACTTTCCCTCTTTTCTCTTGTTTTCTTTTCCCTTCTCCTCTCCTCTTGTCTCCCTTTCCCTGCTCTTACATGCGTCTTGCTCCCTTTTCGTTCCCCCTCCTCCCTCCCTTCCTCCCTCCCTTCCTCTTCCCCCCTTTCTCCCCCCTCTCCCCCATTTTTCTTTCTCCTTGTTCTTCCTCCGTCTCTCTTCTCCTTCTCGCTTCTCTCAAACACTTTCATCTTGCTCGCTTCTCTCTCTCCCTCCCTCGGTTGCTTTCTCTGATTTTCACTCGCAGGTGGCTTGACAAGGACAGTCGACCTTGCGTGCAGGTCAGTCGCTCGCTCCTGCTCCTTCTCCTAAGTAGTTTCCTTCCCTCATTTCTCTTGCCCCGTCGGCTGTGCTCGTTCCTCCTCTTTATCTTCTTTCCTATCCCGTTCTCCTCCCCTCTGCTCTGCTCCTCTCCTTTTCTCTCCTCTCCTCTCCTCTCCTCTCCTCTCCTCTCCTCTCCTCTCCTCCTCTCCCCTCCTCTGCCCGGATATCTTTTTTTGCCTCAGCGTTTCTTAAATAGGAAAAACGCCTGGAAAGGCGGGTTTGCTATTGAGTTTTAGCGGGAGCGGGAGTTGGCTTTGCGAAGTTGTGGTGACATCGAGCTTGCGAGAAGCGTTTGATGTGACAGTGCTAAAGAAGGGTACAT